TCCACGGGGGGCTGCGCAAGCAGCAAAGCGAGCGTAAGCGAGCGTTTGATGCTTGTAAATTATTATTATTATTATCATCAAAAGCACTGTCGTAAATGTCATTCATTCATATTCATAAAATTCCATGCAAAAAGGGGGGGTGATTAAAAAGGGAGGGGGGGGGGGGGTATGAAACGACAAGGAAACATCAGCGTAGTTTAAATAAAAAATAAAAAATAAAAAAGCGAACGAAGCCAGATTACACATAACAAACAACACACTCATGCCATAAAGAGTTAAAGAGTAAAAGGCATACACATAAAAATGGCAGCGAAGATATCTAGGACAAGCAAAGCGAAAGCGAAACGCGAAAGCGAAGCATGCAAAAACCCAATGATAAATAAAGCAAAGAACCAACCCAGACTTGTGTCCTTCTACCAATCGACGCCTGGTCCTCCCAATGCAGAATGAATAAAGGCCATGTCATGTCATCACACGAGAAGAAGTAAATCGCACGCAAGGAAATCCCAGCCAGCGTATCTGACAAGAGTGGATGGAACCGGAAAACTAAATCACCAAATCACCAAAAAAAAAAAAAAAAAAAAAAAAAAACCAAAGGACAGCTCCCTCTTATTCCTCTATTCTATACCCATATTACCACAAACCCCACAGCGGCGCTCCAGCTCGCAAACTCCCAACTCCTAACGCCCAACTCCCAACTCCCAACACCAGAACGAGTCCCAAAGTCCCAAAAACACCCAACAACGAACCCATCACCTCCGACTACTCCGCCCACTCTGCCTCGACACATTCGTCGACACCTGACTTACACTATCGCTCGGCCGCACGGGTTCATCAAACTTGCTCGACCGTGTCGATCGTCGCGACGTCGACGCGCGACTTGCCGCCACAGGCGTCACGTGCGAATCGACATCGACGCCCTCGAGGAATATCGTGCTGGCGCCCGCGACGGAGTCTGGCAGCGGCATGTGGCGGGAGGAGTTTGCGTAGCTGGCGTGGGAATGCTTGCTGCTTGAGTGGTGGCTGCGGGTGGGGGAGGTGGAAGAGTGCTTGGATGGAGAGCTGCTGCCACGGCTGCTGGGGTGGTCTTTGCTGCTGCGGCGGCTGGAGGAGGTGGAGATTGTGGTTACTGATCCTGAGGGGAGGGGGATGTTGCGGGCGGAGTGGGTGTGGGAGTAGACGGAGGCGGTTGGGGTGGAGGATTTGGAGCTCGTGTGGATATCCTTGATAGTGATGATGGAGCGGGTGGAGCGGGACGAGTGCGAGTGGTGCGAGGACGGGCGGGAGTGTGCTGAGTGACTTGAGTGATGGGTTTTTGAAGAGGCTTTTAGCGTCGAGGAGGTGTAGTTGCTGGCGTTGTCGTCGTCGTAGTGGTGGGGTCGTTCTTTGAAGCTGCTGATGAAGGTACTTGGTTGTTTGCGCGCGTAGGAGTAGGAGCATTCGGAGCCTTCTTCTTCGAAGGGGACGGCTTCTATGGCACGGATCGGGATGTCCATGTCCTGCATGCCACTGTATACGCTTGCGCTGGATGCGCGGCGACCTGCGTTGTTGTATTCATACCCATCACCGCCCCGGACACTCTGGGTTTGACCCCAAATCCTAGAGCAGTTCTCGAGGCCTTCCATGATGGTACTTGCGCGTGGGTTTTTAGACAGCATAGTCCGTGCGTAGTCGGCGTACTCGTTATCGACGCCGCCGAAGGTCATACTTCGGGCAGGTGGTGCTTCTATGGCCCTGTACAATGTTGGCTCTGGTGCTGGTGCAAAAGCAGGGGCAGGTTGCTCAACATACTGATGCTGTTGTGTTGGTGAGGGTTCTGATGAGTCGGCTTTGAAAATGGAATACGCAATTGCTGCTCCCGCAGCGGCTCCTAGAAGAGTTCCAACAACAGCTTTAGCGCCATTTGTGGAATCCCTTGGCTGAGGCACAGGCTGTTGTTGAAGTTGAATCGAAGCTGGTGCTCTGCTCTGTGGCGAGGCGCTTGCGGCAGCGGGTTTTGAAACAGCTGTCTTAGCTTTGCTAACGTAGGTTCCGATCTCTGATTTAGCACGGACAACACTTTCCGTCTTGGTGGACGAAGCCCTAGAAACAACGGAGCCATTCTTAATGATCGTCAATGCCCTGTCAGCAGACGCCTTATCTGATCCAGAGCTTCTGGGGCGATGAACAGCTTCAATGCTATTACCGTCAAAATCGATAACGGCAGCGCTGTAATAATTCTGTTCTGCATCACGTAGAGTCGGCTCTCCATGGATCTTTGCGCCTGCTTTCAGGGCAGCAATGAAGAACTGGCTAACAGCATCACGAGATGGGGCTGGAAAGGCTACATGCGCAGCACCAGCAGGGACTCTGTTGGAATATAAATTTTTAGTGATAACGTCCAACGGGGAAAAACATGTATTCAAACATTCCCTACCCTGGTCTCTCCTCTGCGATCCAAAAGTCTGCAGGCTCTCCAGGCACGGAGCCAAAACCAACATTGTTATCGTGGCGGCCGATAAAGCGGTATCCAAGAGGTTGCAGGCAGGAGAGAAAGAAGGAAGTTGATGTTGGCAAATGTGACACGGTCAATGTGAGATGTGAGACAGGCATGTTGGCTGCTGGATGTATTCAAACTGACGGAAGGGGGAATTAAGTAATAACAAAAACAAAAACGAAACAGATACCAGATAGATACTATAAAGTTATATAGATTCACGAGATCTGGTGGGTAATATAGTAAGAAGTGGGGGAGAAATAGTTTCCGAATATAGCTCCGGTTCGGAAGAGCAGGAGGGGCAGCAAAGATTATATATATATATATACTCTGACCACGAGAGGAATGTTGCCCGAGATGAAGAAGAAGCAGCGGTTAGTTAGTTAGTTATGGGAGGAGGCATGAAATAATACAACAAGACAAAAAAGAGGATCTGACAGAAAATGGCAGCAGACAATAAAGTATTTATCCCGCTGTCTCCAGACAGAACCAGAACAAAAACGATCAGAGTTATTGGAGCCAGTCTATCTCGTCGGCTTTGTTCCCCTGCATTGGCAGACAAAAAGTGACGAAGCCAAAAATTCACGGAGTAGACCCGATTTAGAACAGCAGCTCGCCTGGGTCCACGGGGCATCGCATCAGTAGGGCCAGAAGAGAGACAAAAAAGAGGGCTGTCGGGCCTTCTGCCTCATCATATCACATCGTCAGCACCACTACGTACCAGCAAGCGCCGGGACTGGTTGCTGCCAGCAGCAGGGTAGGGTCCAGCGTCAGCATCGTTCAATACTCTGCTTCCAAAGAAGAAGCAACCAAGCAAAAGAAGGAAAAACAAAAAAAAGAGAGAGAATCCTAAAATATTAGCCAGCTCCGTTAGACTGACTGTCTTGCATGAAAGGGGTTTCAATGCTTCAAGGAAACCAGCGAAGTCGCGAGTGAATCAGAGGGACTTTACTTTGGCGTGGTGTCCTCGGCCCCATAGTTAAACGGGACACATTCATTATTCGCCAGAGCTTGCCGCAGCCTGACCGGTAAGTTGTAACTAATAATAAGGTTAACTTCCAGGGCTGGTTGGAGGGGAGGCGGAAAGGAATCCACGCCACGGGGAAACGGCGGCCAGGCAGGCGTCGTGATGGGGCTGTTAGCGGGTGAAAGAATGGTAGTTAGTGGTTAAAATGAAGCAGTTAACTAATCATCATGATCAATAATAAATAATGGTTGGTTGTTGAGACCCCTCTGCACGTCATGCCAAACGGCACTGTTTCACATAGCATAGGTGATTGAGGGCAGAGGGGAAAACACATATCACTTCCATTCATCCATATCATACTAAATAGAGAGAGAGAGAGAGAGAGAGAGAGAGATAGGTTTGCTGCAGTTACGTTAGTTTGGTGCTGCCATAAGTTTTGGATTATTCAAACAACACGGGCAACTTTTCGCCTTTCACTAAGCCAATTCCCCCAAGGTAACTAGTTAACTATGTATAGCATAGTTAGTATCATCAGTTTATCAATGAGACTCGCATCACTCCAAATATCGCCACGGGATATTCAAGAAGAAATGACGATGATGCCGCAGACCGCCCGTAGGAGGAGCAGAAAGAAGGATAGGGGATGGATGGCTGGGCAGACGGAAGAGAAATGCAATGCAGTATACGGAGTAGTAACTATGGAATGAATAATAATAATAATGAATGAGGCGAGGCGAGGTGGGACTGAGAGGTGGGACGGAGGGGCCCAAAGCAGTCAGTCAAGTTCAGCCTTCTTTTACCATTATTATTATTAATGTTCCTTCGTGCACAGCAAGTAGTTTGAATTGAAAGCTGGCGTGGTCGCAAACCATGCCTATCAATGAAAGGCTCGCTGTGTCTCATTCGCTAGATCATCATCAGTTGGGAGGAGGAGGGGAGGAGGGAGAGGGGGGGCAGCAGTGCAGCAAGCAAGTAACTCCGGGTAAGGAATTAAGGAAGGGGATTGAAAAACATGACATGACACCTGGCAGTAACACTAAAACTAGTTCTTTCTGTCTGCCTCTGCTGGTTCCCTGGCGGGTGGAGAATAATGAGAGAATGAGAGCATCAGAAGAAAACAAAAAAAACAAATCACCGTCCAGAACTGCAGGGAGATTAACTAACCGTGCCATGCTTACTCACTCTCTGTAGTGAGTGCACCACAGCATACAGAAAACCACACTGTAAAGAAAATATTTTCAATATCTTCATTCTTCATCTTCAAATAATCATTATTAATTATAATCATGTCTAAATCTTCTAATTACACTGAGAAGCAGTTATAAAGAGCTGTTAATATATATAAAAGTAATTCAAAATTAAAAATCATGTCTCTGTTATAAGAATTCAAAGTCTTATATATTATCTTATATAAGAGAATCAACAGAAAGAAATCAAGAACTATAAGAATTTCACTGAATTGAGTATTGAATGACAGTCAGAAAGAGATAATTAAGATATGAATTCATCAGTTGAACATTAATTTTTATTCATTTATTATCAAGTATATTGAAGCTGCTATGAACTGTATATTGAGACAGTATTATACAGATTCAGAGACTGCATCTCTCACAGTAAGTAAGATATAAATATATTAATTCATCAAACATCTGTCAGATTATAAATAAGTTAAGTAAAAACTCATGAATTTAAAATAAGTGTTTTATAAGAATATAAGCTTTATTATCAACTGATTTAATTAATATAAAACTGTCTTTAATTAATATTAATTTTTTCACTGTAATATCTATAACTTTGATGAGATTAAATTTTAAGAAGAAGAAGAATATAGATAGTAAGTTATAATTATCTTTAAAGATATAAATTCTGTTATATAGTTATCATACTTCTGTGAATTAATAACAGTAATAAAGTGTGTTAGTATAGATAATATAGTATTAAATTCATTAATTATAATGAAATCAAAGATTTATCTAGAGAATTAATATATATACTTTAACTTATCTGATAACTATATTATTATCATATCTGAGTCTAGCTTTATAAATGATGAGATTGAATTTGAATAAATTAAGCAGTTTAATAAGATGATAAAAAAGTATTAAATAAACAGTTACTAACTGCTATTAATAAATAATTATAATTCTTATCTTATAGAAGAATTCATTTAATACTATAATCTTTATAAGATTATTCTATTCAGATTCTTATCTTATATAAGTTATATTCTATAATCTCTTGATAATGTATCTTTTCAGTAGTATAAACATTATTATATAAAGACAGTTAATGAGACTGTCTACTATAGATATAAGTAGTATAATAATAGATAATTTCTTACTAATCTGAAGAGTATTCAACTATAAGTATTTAAATCTGATACTGTGAGAGCTGGCTTTACTAACTGTGAAATATATTCAGTTAATTACAATATAATTCTCAATTAATTAAGATCTCTTATCATTGATAATGCTCTGAATCTCAATATATATAATAATGATAATAATATATATAATTACTTTATTCTGTTATCTGCAGATTAACTGTTAACTATCTTCTTATAATTAATCTCTTCAGAGACAGTTGTAAAACTATATTATTAAATTAATACAGCAGTTAAGATCTTAGAAGATGTGAAGAATACTCTTATATCTGATTTAATAAGACAGTTGAATAAGATCTTTAAGAGTAGCATGATTCAGACAGAATTAAATATACACTGTGAGAATGAACTTACAGATTATTATTAAATAAATAGATATTAAGTTATCAAATTCTCTCACAGACAGATATAAGTAAGTGAAGTTCTCACTATTAAGAATGTCAATTATAAGATTATAACTCATAGAGTAGATGAGATGAAAAAGATGTTTAATAAGACTCTTTAATTAATTGAAATCAAATCTATAAAATCTACAGTCACTCAATCATAATAAGATAATTTTATAGAATTTCAATTTACAGTGAATTCTACACCTTCTAATGAGTATATAGATAATCTTTATATTATAGATAGATGTGATAATGATTATTAATTAATTTTTAAAGATTACTATATTCAAAATATTTTCTTTACAGTGTGGTTTTTCATACACTGTGGTGCACTCACTACAGAGAGTGAGTAAGCATGGCACGGTTACTTAGTACTGTGTAGGGAGAGTTGGAGGGAAGTCTGGTGGTTTGGTCGTGCCAACTTGCCGTTTTGGGCCTAACTGGTAGTTTAAATACGCAATACGATATCATACAACCGTGAGCCCTCCTCTCCTCCTCCCTCCCCGTAACTACCTGCCTAGGTACCTAGGTACCTACCTGCCTAGATACATGTAATAATGTACAGTTCCTCCGCCGAAACCTACCCAGGCAAATGTTCTGTTGACTATTGACTATTAATTATTTAGCTCTGTATGTAGCTAAATTGTTAACAACCGGATAGAAACCCCAGGGGGCTGGGAAGGTTGTGTTATGTTGGGCAGCCAAGGATTCGGCCAGCGCATCATCGCATGGGCAGAACATAGTAACTATAAGTAGTTACTCTGTGTATATAGTTAACATGGCAATCCAATCCATCCAATGATAGTTACTCTCCGCCGTGACGGTACATTACATTACATTACATAACCACCCCAGCCAGCCAGCCCAGCAGCCTCACTTTTTCCGCGCCGAAATCTGTCCATCTAGTTACTTTCTACTTCTCTCTCACTCACTGACTGACTTGACTGCCCAATCTCCATACTTGGGTGCCCATGCAGCCAGCTACGTCCTGACTGACTAACCAACTGAACTGACCTGCACTACATCCTCGCTACCAAATGTACCAAACCGAACCGAAATAATAATAATAATAATAATAATAATAATAATTCATCACCAGCGTCCCCGGCATCATCAACGTATACATGGTAGGGGATATTCATTCATTTGCTCCTCATTGACCGCGTTATTCGGAGCTTAAGAAGACCAGGATAAGTTCCAATCCACGTCCTTATCCAGCAGTTCCATGCTAGAGTCTTAAACAATAATAGGATACTTTCTTAACCCTGAGACTACTAACAAGGAAGAAGAGGGAAGAGTTGGCAAAAAAAGAAATGCATTTGTCCAACATAGATATATATATATCAAGTCCGATTCTAGTTAGTAAGCCCATCAGCGTCATCCATCCATTCATCCATCGTTCCCATGCCATGCCATGCCATGCCATGTTGAGGGTATATATATATAGTATATAGACATGTATCACCAATCCAAACCAAACCAAATGCCAGCAGCAAATCCCGGCCAGTGGAGGCAAGTTGAAGTGCCAAATTTCCACATCTCGAAAAAAAGAAAAAGAAGGGGAAGGGAGACAGGAAGAAAGTAATACAAGATATATCGACAGGGGCAAATATAAGGGTTACAAATATAAGACAATTGAAAGCTTTTTCTCTTTTTTTTTTCCTGAGATATAGAAGTGCGGAAAGAAGCCCCCGGTCAGGTGTAGGGATATATCCAGGGGCGCTTTTCTTTTCCTCTCTCTCTTTTCCCTATATCAGCCGTGTTTGGTTGTGTACTTGTTTTCGTTTGCGAAAGTTAGAAAACCGGGCCACCCCGGGTGAGCTTGGTAAGAAATGAAATAGGCGGATGTGAGCAGGTGAGCCCCGGACGAAAAAATGGTTTTATACCCACAGGGAAAAATGAACAGGAAAAGATTCAAAAGAAAATGCAAAACAACTGAGAAAATGAAAAAGAGATAAAAAAGAAACCCAAAAACTCCTCCCGCGCGCGTTGAGGCTGTTGAACCGCCCCTGTTTTGTTGTAAAAACAGAACGATATCCAAGCATAGGCTCTCAATGCATATGCAAAAAAAAGAAAGAGAAAATTGTATGGTGAATATATTAACTAGACAAAATGGAAAAAATGGAAAAGGGAAATGAAAATGAGAATGGCTTCTGGTTGCGACATGCTTTTGACGTATCCGTTCGCGAGCACAAAATGCTTGTTGTGAATATGATGTGATGCGATGCGATGTGATGTGATGTGACTGAGGAGAAGACTAAGAAAAGGAAGAAGAGGAAGGGCAAAGTTTTTTTTATTTTTTGTTTCCTTTGGGCAGTCTCCGCGAGGACAAGCGTGGATGTTGTGATCGTGGCTGGCCTCTCGTTTCGACTGGTTTCATTTTTTGTTGCTTTTCTTCCCTTTCTTATTTCCCCTCTTTTTTTTTTTTTTTTTTTTTTTTTTTTTTGGGCAGTTGTTGTTGTTGTTGGCTTGGAGGTCCGGTTGGGATGTGGTTTAACTGTTAGTCCCAATAGTCCCCGTTCGTCTGCTTCGAATTCGGGGTTTTTGTGTTTGAAATGGGAAAATGCTGTAGGGTAAAGACTAGAGAGGGAGGACCATCGAACCGGCCGGTGTCAGTAATATCTAGGAAGGGGAAAAACAAAAGGAAACCCTTCCAAACCCCTCTCATTACCTCACACAACAAACCTCACTTCTAGAAAGGCCCTGAAAGGGTAATTTTCACCGTGTCCGCTTATACATATACCCTTCCCAAAAATAAACTGGGCCAATCCCATTTCACGTAGCCGGCTATACGATATCCCACACATCCTCCGCCGCATGACAGAACTTGCTACACGCAACACTGGCACTGAGACTATAGTTGCTGATACTAATGGTATCATCCTTAAAGCCATCAGCAAAGTCATCGCGGCCCTTTGCCATCGCGCCAACGAAGACGCAAATACTCTCCTTGGGCCCTAGCGATTCGATATAATCATTGACGCGGACGACGGGTGCATCAAAACTCAGCGTCACTTTTCGACAGTTGGGCGGCAGGTGGTCTGTGATGGGGTTCTTGATCACCTTCAGAAGCTTTTCTTGCGAGTTGGTGGAGCGGATGGACAGGCGGTGGAGCAGCTGGACCATCAGGCCGGCAAATCGCTTGAAAGTTCGTGGGATGCGTACGGTTGGGCTGACTTCGATGAGGACGCCCTTGGCGGTGTGGATGTAGATTTGCAGTTTTCCTGCTTTGTTGATGGGGGAGTCGAGGAGGGTGAGGAGACACTATAATATGTATACAATTGTTAAGCTCGCGGCAGGTTGATAAAAAAAAAAAAAAAAGAAAAAGTGGCCGTGGCGTGTATATATATATATATATATATATATATGGGGTAATTCCAAACCTGATGAGTGATATCCGGGCGCGCATCACTGATATCCCGATTCATCTTTCGCATAACGCCAATGTGTTCATCGCTGTTGAGTAGCGAGTATTTCTCTTCTCTGCCATTGGCGTTTCTCCCCCCCGACGAGGCGCGGTATGTTTCCAGACTCGCGTTGGAGAGGACAACAATCAGCCGCTTGGTTTCCTTGTCGTGGGAGGCGATGGGGACATGCTGTTCAGCGACCAGCTGGGGGAGTTCGGGGGGAGGGCAGGATTGGGTTCCTGAAAAGCCAAAGATGGTGCTCCGGTTAGCGGTCATCATTTCGCATTTCTTTTTTCTTCGTTTATCTTTTCTTTTTCGTTTCGCTTTCTTCCTCTCCGTTGCGCGCAGGGGAAAGAATTGCAGAGCGGGGTATGGTATCGAGACGGAAGCCAAAAGGGATTCTGCCACCAGCTCAAGAAAAAGAAACGAGGCCAAAAAGCTCCGCTAGAAACTCTGAGGGGCGACCAGGATTCATTCATCCTTTCTCCCTTTGATCTTGCGTCGCTGTGCAGTAGTGCCAATTAGGGGAAGGTAGCGGTATTCAATATCCCCTGACCCTGTTACAGTGTTGGGTTCCACTGTCTCCTCTCTTGGGTGCGGTGGCAGAAAGCTGAAAGGGAAGGAAAAAAAAAAAAAAAAAGCCGCTTTGTGCCCAACAACGACTAACTGGAGGCAGACAACGCCGCCGTATCTTTTCTCTGTCGGGCAGGCGCGCAAACAGAAGAGATGCAACGAAGAAGAAAGTAAAATAAAAATAAATTGACTTACTGGGCCGCTTTCTTTTGCCCTCAGCCGGATTGGACATTCTGTTGGTAGAGGAGGGAGGAGGAGGAGACTGTTAGGTGCGGGAGGAATATGATGGGATGGGAGATGTTGTTTGCGCGATGAGTCAATCGCACAGGAAAGCAGTCGGGGAGGAAGAGAAGAGAGAGACAGATAGGATAGAGGGGGGAAGCAATTGAAAGAATAGAGTGAGAGCGAGTGAGTGAGTGAGTGGGTTGTCTAGGAGTTGGAGAGGAGAGGAAGAGGAGGGAAATAAATCAGACGGAGTGGAATGAATATATTTAGTCAAGTTATTTAACTCAACAACAACTGCCTCCAAAAAACAAATGAACCTTTAACTTCGACTATTTTATTGTCTGTCAAACCTTTGTCTCCGTACGCAGAGTAAGAAGAACTACAGAGTACCGCCCTAAATAATTCAACTCCATTCAAAAAAAAAAAAAAAAAAAAAAAAAAAACGTAAATACTTCATACTGTTACTCATTTCTCTGAGTGAGTGAGTGAGTGTAACTCTGTATGTATTTCCACTCTCACCGCTGTCTACCACCTGAAACAGACTTATTCTTTCACAACCAGTCATCATATAAACATATGTATGCTTATTTATTTTTCTAAAACACATCATCATCATCATCATCATCATCATCATCATCCCTAAAAAAGTAAAGAAAAAAAAATTATATCAAGACACTCCGCTGCCAATTATATTTCCATCCCCGAACTAACTACATCTCTAAACCATCTCATCCAACCCCACATCCCACATCATCCCCGCTGCTTAAAAAAGAGCAAAACAAAACAAAACAGAAAAGAGACGAAAAAAACACACCGAAGCCGAAGCATGATAATGAGTTGCTTTAAACAAAAGAAAAAAAAAATTTGGTAGAGAGAGAGAGAGTGTGTGTGTGTGAGAGAGAGCGCGCGAACAGATGTGAATCACAAACTATGTAAAGCGGGAGATTTTGCAACGAGCAAGCACGAACACATTATCCATGGATGAATGATGAATGCCAACAACCCAATGCTTTCCCCCTCGCCCCTGCTATTCCGCTTCCTGATCCTAAGGATCCTTTTTCTTTCCTTTCCCATTCCCCTGAATCTGGCTCCCACTGACGTTCAGCTCAGTTGACCAGGTCCGTCCGAGAACAAACAAAAAAAAAGGAAGAAAAAGGAGGGAAGAAACGAAAGAACGACATTTTAGCTCGGTAACCCCGCGTATCTTCTCTTCGATGTTTTTTTTTCTCTTCCTATGATTGTTCTCGGCAAATATGAAAAAGAGAAAAAAAGATACACTTGCTTGGAAAATATATTCACATGATATTGATCGGGGGTTGATCGCTCTCTCTCTCTCTCTTTTTTTTTTTTTTCTGTTTTTTATGTTTCTTGTCTTCCAGCTTTCTCTGTCCATCAATATTTATCATTTTCCTCTCGCTCCTTTGTCGTCCCTGATTGAAATGGTTGATATACCGGCCCAATTACAACAAATCGATCGATCGATTCCCTCTCCTTCTCCAGCCCGGCCAAAAATCAACCAAACCAACACAGAGCAAAGCAAACAAAGGAGAATTATCTATCCCGTGGCAGCAAGCAAGTAAGGATTATCTTCTCGTACGTTCAAAAGGGTAGGGTAGGTAAGGGGGAACGTTAAAAGTAACATAATAAAAAAAAAAAAAAAAAAGAAAAGAAATTCGTGGTTAGAGGAACATTGGGCAGCATGTGCACGTGTTTGCCGTGGCATTTAATTCATTCATCAAATAGCGTACTTCCGGGTCCATTCGCGGGCTGTCGCTTCATACCGCGGACGGTCGGTCTTGTAAACATGGGCAATTTCTGGTACCAATGGATCATCCGGGTTGGGGTCTGTGAGCATAGAGCAGATGGAAAGTAGAACTTGAGAAGGAACACCCATGTCAGTAAAATAAATAGAGCTAATAGATGGAGAAGCGGAACGGCCAAAACAAACCTTTCGATATGGTCAGGGCAGGACTCCATTGGTCTCTGAGAATGTCCAGGCAAATGCTTCCGTTTGAGTTGATGTTTGGGTGGTAGATGAGCGTAGTGAAGTTGACCTTGGGTGGCTTAAAGGGATAGTCGGTAGGGAAATGTATGGCTAGGAAGAAGACACCACCGGAGTATGGGCTATCACCCTATTATCGTCCCCAAAAAAAATTGAAATGTCAGCCATAGTCTCTCTCTTGTCTACACGCAACAATACGTTAGGGGTAGAAGGCTGCAATCCATTTTCCAAGCAAGGGTGGAATTTTGCCCTTCCGGTGGCAGATAAGGCAGGGAAAGGGTAGGGGATCATGTCTCTTTTATAGAAGCAAAGTGATAACTTACAGGACCCATGATCGTAGCTTGCCAGTGAAACTATATTGTTACAAGCAACCAAGTCAGTCCATGTCCCCTTCTCAAGGTACAGCAACTAGACACGCTACACGCTACGCCGCTCGAGTTTGGATGTTCCTTCCAACACGAGCCTTGTATAACCCGACCAGACTTATGTAGATCTAACCTAGCGACGTGACGCAGGGCGTATAGAGCCAAACCGGGGGGGGGAAGGGGGGGAGAGCGTACCAAGTCATCTCCAACGGGACCAGCAGAACAAGACGATGGGGGATCGCTATATCGATATCAGTTAGTAATGAATATCTCCAGTTAAATCATGGAATGTTTCGCAGGCGTAGAGTGAGCGAAACCAGGAGGCAGCGCCCTGCTCAGTGGCGATGGTGGGGGTGGGCGTTTGTGCCGCCCGCCGAAGGGAGAACCATCAAAAGGGTATGGCCAAGGAGGGAAGACTCACCGTCCCAAGTCTGAGAGTTCTTTATTAATTCTCTTGAGGGCCATTTCGAGAGAAGAGGTATGGTATGTGAGATAAGGAAGTTAAGGAGAGAAAGAAAGAGAAGGATCTGAAGGAAAACGAGCAGTAGGAGCGTGGTGGGGTCGTGTGCTGGGAGTTCTTTTTGGGTTGGTTTTCGAGAGGGATTTGTCTGTCAAGGATATATGGGCGGCAAGTTAGCGGTGGTGGTGGTTGGGCAGACTCTGCGAGAGAGAGCCAGGGCCTGAGAAGAGGTGGGGTGGGGGGTTAATATACCTTCACAAGAGTTCTTTTTTTGTTGTTTTTTGAAACAGCAGTGACAGGAAGACAGGAAGACAGGAGCTATAGGGATAGAAAGTCTATGAAGATGTCGTTATGTCTTGAATGGCGGCGGCGGTGATGGGACGATGTCTGTTTGGTGGGGGAGAAAAAAGGAAGAGAAAGAAAACAGAAAACAATGGAAGAAGAAGCCTGAGAACGAACGATCAAACCTGTCAAGTCAGTCAAGTCAGTTCAGTCATCAGACACCGCCGCGAAGGGGAAAGGGAAGAGCGAGGTATGGTATGGTATATCAGGGTAACGACAATACGCCCACTTTAGTCAGCGGTATTTTATTCCCCCCGCCTCCCTTCGCACTGAGGGGCAAACAGGAACCGGAGAAATATTAATCCAGGATGCAGCCAATCACCGCTGTGTGTTTCAGGAGCCACTCTTGCCACTGTTCCCTTTGAGGAGGAAGGATGAGTCAGGTTCCGTGTAACGTAACTGGTATACCGATACTGTACCGTATTTTACTTACCAGGTACCGCACCTGACACAAAACACCCGATACATGACGAAATCCATTCCAACGGACAGCTAAAGTGAAAGCATGTCGGAATCGGAATCTTGGGACAATATTATTAAGTGTACAGTAGCTACATATATCGTCGTCGGCTACGGATTCCCGTCGTAAGCATGGGGGAAGCCAGGGATGTTTTTCTTTTCTGTAGGTACCTTGGGGAGGTCTTGGTATCTATAAATTACATCGGCTGTAACTAGTTACTCTGTAACGAACTTACGGACTTGCAACAGGGCTGAGCCAGTCAGGCACAGCCAACCAACTTCCCTCTCTTTTCTTCCCCCGCCTTCCTTCCACTACGGAACACGACCCATTATTGTTTCAGGACCATTACACGATTTATTGACGATACGACGCTGATCATGGTTCATCCATCCGCAGTTTAGGTTGCTAGACAGACAGAGGATTCATCGAGCTGCCTACATACGAGAGAAGTCTCAAGTCAGGTACAGGCACACGCACAGGCAACGCGCACAAGGCTCTCATCCAACTCCTTGTCCATTGCCTGGCCGGTCAAATTAAAGCCTGTTTGTTACCCTGTTATCGATCATCAGGTAGCCTGCACCGGCACCACCACCCACCGCGTAGGAAGCGGAAAAGGGGCAGTGGGCATGAGATCTTATACAACCAGGCGGACAGAACATTCATCAAGGCCGGGCTATGAAAAAAACCCCTGGGAGACTTCAAAGATCCTCGGAAGGTCCAATCATCAAGAACAATCCCAAGGCTTAGGCGACGTTTGTTCGCAAAATAGAATGTTCAGTATGTGAAGCCGTGGTGACCTTTTGGACCCTATAGAGGCAGAGGCATAGTAGGAATTTGATTTTGGCCGAATAGGTGACTTGTTTGTTTCCTCTCCGATATACAGGAACTTGACAGCTGCTGTGGGCTAGTTAGTCCAATCGCTTTGCAAAATGTTCTTTTCCTCGTTGTGGCAGGCACAGACAGACAGCTGTTCACCTGTCCTCAGCCCTTGCTTTTTTCCTCTTCTGAGATATATCCTTGGGAAGTTCCTGAGGAACCTTCTTTCACCGAAGGGGGAGAAACGGAAAAGCGGAAGCTGGAAACAGATGTAAAATAAAGAAATATCGAGGTGAAAGAAGGGACCCTCATTCGGCGAGTTTCCCTCTTGCGCAAAAATATAAAAAGGGGCACCCACGCAGGAAAGAAGCAGCTCTTTGAGAGTTTCCTTTCTTCGGCGTGCAAAGCAAAGCTGCATCCACTGATTTTCCACGGTCAGGTTTGGAAACCCTTTCCACCAGCAAGTATTCACTAGATGTAATGTGCTGTACAAACTTGTGCAGGGCAGAAACACCGCCTAGCTAGCTGGCTGGCTGATGCTGCTAGCAGTTGAGAGAATGCGAAGTGAGAGTTCTGCTGCTGCTATCCGCAGGTCCACAGTTTGCGGAGAGGTTGCCTCGAGAAGCCTGGAGAAGCATCGGGATGATTGTAGGCAGTATATTTACTTACGCTGTAATCCTCTTGTGACTGGGTAGTATCCGCGTATCGGCACGGGAGGAGATCCTGGCAGGAGCAGCAGTGCGGGTCGGTCTATTTCTTCATCTCGCTATATATGACGGTTCGAAGGTTTTTTTTTATTTTTTATTTATTTTATTTTTTAACCTTTTTCGAGGGAAGCTGGTCGGGGGAAGAGATCATGCCAACATTTGCCATAGTCGCATTATGCATATTGAGATGGTAGAAGTGAATGCAGATTGCGCCCTTTTATTGTACAGTACATGTACTTATGCTCTGCGTACGTGTGCGGCACATTTCGTATTATGATAAAATAATAAATCGAGGAGATCCAGCCCTGGGATGATGGGAAGCTTAATAATAGCTAACTAGGCATCTCTGAGAGTGCCGAATATGTTAGCTGCTCGTTGTGATTGAGGTAGGTAGGGTAGGTTATATATAGTTAGGGGATTCAATTCAACAAAGAGAAATGAAGGTGAGTCGCAATTCGAGATTTCTGTAGAGTGTGGAAAGCGTGAGACCTGCATTGTATTTTATTTTATTTTATATTTTATTTTATATTTTATTTTATTTATACACAGTACGGAATATAACTTAATTAATTGCTTGATCCCCCTCATTTTTATTTATCGCATCTTCTTCTCTGGAGAAAAATAAGAAATAAGGTGTTCATTCTTGATTCTTTACCATGGGCGAAACATCACACTTGTTGCGCTCCCGCCGTGGTTTCTAGAACCATGGAACCGGTGTAGATCTAGCAGAGTATATATAGATAGATTCCTCTTTCTCATATTTCTCATATTTCTCATATTTCTCATGCATTTTCATTTTCGGCTGCCGGTCAAATGTGAGAGCAGAAGATGGTAATCCTAACAGCGTGGAATGCTTTTTACATATCTCCGGGGATTACTAAAAAAAATAAAAAAAAAAAAATAAAAATAAAATAAAAATAAAAATCCGGTACATACTACGCTGCGTATGTACGGCATTCTTCTGTTGGTTGGGGAAATTAAAACCCCGACTTCCCATTACTTTTTCTTATTGTATCTGTTTCTTCAGTGTTGATCACAGCGGTGATCTGCGAGCTGCGATTCGGGGAAATCCCACGGGCGTAGCTATCCATGTCCCCGGCGCGGGTCAAGCTTGGTGCTGTTGGTGGAGCACCACGTTCTTGACAGGCAGTACCTAGGCATATCTTTAGGTACGGAGTACGGAGTATATATAACTACCATATAAAAAATGGAAGAGGTGATCGATCATTGTCGTCCATCCCCTTCATGCTTTGAATAATAATGAACTATCTCGGAAAATACGGATAACTAATAATAACTAGTCAACGTCGTCATCTTTTTTACGCCAAACGAGAGAGAGTTCTTCAAGCAGCTAAATAGCTCTAGCAGCCGGACCCCCCCCCCCCCCTCTGGCCCGCGCCGAGACAGTTTGTTTCCGACAACAGCCAGCGGCTCAGGGCTCAGGGCTCAGGAGTCGGGAATCAGCAGCATTGACCGACCCTGCGATGAGAACCAGGAGCAACGGGGCGCAGCAGCCGCTGTTCGGGATTCAGGATTCAGGAGTCGATGTTTGTGAGACTTGTTCTGTGGAGAATCATCTCTCCGAAACTCAATAATAATGAATCAAATCAATCCCCTTGTCTGTTGAACAAAAAAAGGGGACGGGGAGGCATGCTTGTTTCTCCTCCGTCGGGGAACTAATAACTAACTATGCATCGTTCTAACTATGCATCGTTTGATGACTCGCTCAACTACCTATTGTTCTCCATGCCGCAGCCCGGATGAACAAAGTGAATAATATTAAATCTGTGTTACCTGTGGATGGTTTGGAAACGAGGTTAGAAAATCGCAATATACGCGCGAACAATTGCGACAAGTATTTAGTTAATAAAACTTAACAGCTGCACGGCTCTTACTGTTTCTCCCCTCGCTATAACTACAGCGTACGCTGCATAGTTGCGGCGTAAGCAATAAGAAGAATAACTAATATGTTACTAGGAACGGACTTAGAAACAGAACAGAACACTTGTTTCCGCGATGCAAGCCACAACACTCCAGGTTTTCCCCGACTCCAGGTTTTTCTTTTCTTTTCTCATTTCCCCATCAGCAGTTGGTGAGAGGAAACAAGACTACTCTACTACTACTAAAGAAAGGAAAACAAAAACGTGTCTGAGCGGGAAAAAATGGTCCCCGTCCATAATTATATAAAGAAACAGACCCCGTCCAACCCCCCAAACCCCCGTCGTCTAAAAATTCCATCTTACATATCTAACTCCCAGACCATATCATAACTATCCCTTTTTTTATTTAATTTGCCCGTTTTCCCTCCCTCTTTCATTCCCTTTCGTTCTCCCGGCCTACGAACGATTCTAAGCTGCATGAATGAAACATTTGGCTCTCAACTCCTCTCCGCTGCCGATCACCGCCTGCAGCGCCCGTTTTCCCACCTGCTTTACCACGCACCGTTCCGTTCCCCAATAATTTCCTCCCCAAACAACATGAAGATCGACGTCGCCTTCACCTTGGCCCTCGTGCTGGCAGCCACAGGAATAACTGCTGCACAGAGATCCAGGGTCGAGCTGTGTAGAGTGGGATATCAGGTATGTCCCTCCAGCATTTTATTTTGTTTTATTGTGATTTATTGTGTTTTTTTTTTTTTTTTCGTTTTGCTACGTGAACTATATAGTTACACCTTTTCAAACCAAATTATCTACTTTCTTCACCTTACCTTCCTCGTCATGATGTTAACAATATTCATTTTCCCCCCCAACATAGTGCCGAGCCGATATCGACTGCCAGGCGGATCCAGAGTGTCAGGCGAAGGCAGAGGTGAGGACGGACATACCATAATACCATACCCCATTTCTTCAAGAAAAAAATAAACCGAACCTGAAGCTGAACTTTCTGTCTTTTTCTTTTTTCCTTTTTTCTCATGAAAAAAGGGCATGGACCAAAAATTAAAGACCATCGCGGTTTACTGCCACGATGCAAAGCGTCGCTGCGAAGTTGTATGTGTTTGTCCATTATTCTTCCTCCCACAAAAAACTTCAGCTGGATTTGAGGCCAAGGAAAGGGGCTAACCTTAACGGCTTTCTCCGTTTCTTTTTTAAAAAAAAGGTATGGCCGGCTAGAAGCTAGAAATGAAATTTAAAACAAAAAAAAAGGAATGGAGAATGGAGTACTTGATTTCTATACCTAACTACCAGAAACAAATTGTTCCAAAACGCTAGTGTAAGGCTGAGCTGGGTAGCTAGTGTGGAGCTGAGTTTTTTTTCTTTTCTTTTTTTTTTTTTTTTTTTTTTCTTTCTTAACAAGTGATACCAACTTGGTGGATTGGTGAATTGAGGTATCCCACGATCAATCGATCATCCATGAAAGAAATGAATATCCAGAGAGGGCACGTTTTGTCTGAACGATACGATACTTCTGGTTGCTCGCGGAGTCTTGAGAAGAATTCAGAACTCCAGGGGGGGAGGGATCCTTGAACAATTAACTCGAGGATTAACCTGGGTATTCTGCGAGCTTCTGCGAGCTTCTGCTGGAGGATGGAGATATACACTCATACTCTATACATATACATACATTTTTGCCTACGCGGTTCACTTTCCAGGCATGGGGAGAAGAAGAACAGAGGATATTTTTATGTTAACTATGTATTAATGTATTACATGCAGCAGACATGTCAGCGGATAAAATCTCTCTATCTCCCCCCCCCCCCCTTCCTTTTCTATTAACATGATGTATGGTCTATGAGATCTGGCTCTTCATTCTAATGGAGATACATATTTCGCTTGCGGGCAAAAGTGTATGGGTGTATAATCTTGAGAAAGCTATTGCTTGATGAGCGGGTGCGCAATGAGATGAGACAAAAGAAAAGGGAATAGGAGAATTGTTGTTTCGTTAATTCTATAGAATATTGGGAGACAGGAACCGCCTGATTGTTGTATGTTAACTATCTCCCCCTTCCCTCAATGTTCTGGAATTCTTTTTCATTTAACTAATGAGATGTAACTATGTATATCAACCAATAACTTAGTTCTATATCCATAACCCGTACCACCGGACCCGGCATCCCCGTTATCAAAACAGTTAGGTAACTTAGCCTTTCTGCAATGAACACAGCATATCTCGGAAATTTATTCCACAGAGGTTAATAATGATGGGCAATCTCATGTATGAATGAGCTGCAATGCTCTGTGCCACGAGACTCAAAACAATCCGTTCATCACTCCCTGACCCCCCAACTCAGCCTTTCATCTCTCAGATTCGGCTTACTACTAACTTACAATATATGCAGTGTTTTGCCCACCCCAACTCCCTCCTTTATAATAATATAACTTACGGCTTGGAATATCTGTCTGTGGCAGTTGTCTGATTACACTTCCGCGTACTGACCTCGCTTCCCAGTCCCATAGCCAAATATGGAGTACAAAAGTCAAACAAAACAATGAAAAGAGGCCCCCTCCCCTTCCTCCCCTTCCTAACAACCATCCTGGTGTCCGCAGTCAGCTGGACGAATGCGGCGATTGTGCAAGAAAGTCCATTGGTTTTCCAGAACTACCGGGGCAAGTGTCTTGACAGCATCCCTGTGTACAGAACTGTGGACTGTGAACAACATCTGGGCCGTCATCTGAATGCGATGTCAGCTCTTTATATATATATATATATATAAAGGAACTATACATCTTACTGAAATTGGCCCCACCCCACGACAGCTCTCCCCGTTTGCTTCAAGGGAATTAGATGTAAGAGAGGACGGGTGGGAAGGAGACGAGAAAAAGCTAGAATAGATAGAATTAGAGACTAAGTAACTTCTTTTTATGTACAGTCCGATAGACAGCCTTGTCCAATCGCTTGTAATGAAACATGAAGCGAGGTGATTTATCATCTGTTGGCCATACTTCAAGATTATGAAGGAGCTGGATGATTTGTTTATTTGTCTGTTGTCTGTTCGTCTGTTTCCGGTTAACAAGCAGCAGGTAAAATGTTTGATATCACCAGTCGAGGATTCACAAATAGCATTCTTTTTATGGTGGAATATCAAACGCCGCTCTTACCATATTTAACATATTAGATGAGCTTGCTTGCCCATTGTCTAATTTTTGGTCGAAAAGGATGAAGTTCAAATGCCGTTGCTGTTTGCAGGAGAAGATGGTTGATCAACCCTGTTTCGCGATTCTGCGATTCTGCGACCCTGGACTTTTGGCTCATTTTCCCGTTTTTTATCGTTCCAAATATTAATCCAGACCCACCGAATCAAAAAAGAAAGTATTCCTCTGAACAAACGACTTATCTCGAAAGATTGAGGCATTGATTGCCCTTTGTAGGTTCCTCTATAACTTACTCACATCCTCCCTCGTCCCACTCGCCGAGACAAAATGCCACCGACATCCAAGCATTTCAACCCATCCATCCCCAGAAGGGAGGCCGACTTCTCTCGCCCTATCGAATATGCCTTTGTGCCTCTCCTCCCCGCGTACTGCTATGGAAACATCCGTGAATCCTTCACTCTTCCCCTCCATCCCCGGCAAGAAGCGCATACGTGCATTCGTGAATTGCAGGTGTCCAGGGTCCCCTGGGATTCCAAATGTCTCCTCTCACTGCTTCAATGCGGCGTCTGTGTCCTCGTCTCCCGGTGCTAGACGGCAGGTGACATCGGCCAGATGCAGGTCTGCAGTTTTTTTTTTTTAAAATAAAAAAGGAGGCATAATCGGGGCCGCAGGCATGCCACGGCGCGAAGCGCGACATCTCTTCTTCCTACTCACATGCCAGGGGGGGGGGGCTTCACACCACACCCACCACCCCCCCCCGCCCAAAAAAAAAACCCAAAAAAAAAAAAAAAAAAAAAAAAAAAAAAAAAAAAAAAAAAAAAACATAGATAGATGAGTTAAGGGTTTAGGTGACGGATATAGGGCAAGCAAGGGTGGTTCACAAACGAGCACACCTCGTATTCCCTTGGGATGATATTGGATGGATACACTGTCCGCGTGTGCGTGCGCAAAAATCACTTTACCCAGCCCCTTGGATTCGATATGGGAACGCTGTTTCCTAGCATCTCCTATCTACAATATGATCATGTACCCGCCATCTCCCTTTTTTGACAGCCGTCTAGCTGCTGTTGTGGTTGGGTTGGTAGGTGAAACCACCTGCGCGTGGATTTTGGAGTTTCAGCATGAAATGCTCATGCAGCTTATGGAGAAGCCACTACTAACCTTAATAAAATCACCTCCTATAGGCACTAAATATATTATAGTAGGGTAAGTGAAATGAGAACGATAATGTTAGATGTATGTACATGAACAAGTAAGTGCATTGCAAGCTCCTCACCGATAACATTCTCCAACCCCCATACAGCGACCCCTGGATCAACGAAAAGGACCTCCGTCCCGATGACTTTTGTCTAGGTTATTTCCTTTTCAGCGAGTGGACTAGAAGTGGAACGGATCCATCAAACCCTCTCATTACCAGAAGATATTCAGCCCTTTTGAGGTCATGCGCCACAAGCGCAAGCTGCCTCAGCCGCGTCGGGCCGGCGGCAGAATGTCGTAAATTGTGATGATCCGGAGCCGACATGTTGAAATAGAAACTTTTTACATTTAAATCGAAGGTATTCAGAACTTCAGGAAATTTTTATCTGTATATACTCATCGGTACATGTACATGTACATGTACATGTACATACATACATCAGGAAGTAGATAGACGATTACCTCGGTAACTGCTTTGAATTTGCAAGGCTGACCCAACAAGTCATCCTGCATTTTCACCAACATATGTTTGATGCTCGCCCTTCAAGCAACATACACTTACTTGCGATGCCCTCAACAAGCACAACAAAAACTTTCAATCCCTCTCTCCTCTTGCGCTTCTTGATATGGCCTCGGGCGGATTCAATGCTTTATCAGATGCAGTGATGGAGGGTTTCATGTGCGGCATGTCCGGTTTAGAGGTCATGGTAGAGTTTGATTGGCGCATTACACCAAGGTTTCTGTTCTCCTAGGGCGCACATTCCTCGAGCGAGGCTCAGGGAACGGAGTGATTCTCTCCATTTAGTCCTCCCGCGGAGGCTGTGAAATGAGTGTGCTGATGCTCCAAGAGCAACATAAAGAAGTTGAGCGATCCTCTAGAATCTAGAATTACGGGCCTCTCTCATGATATGATTTTCTCGATGCATACATGCTCCCCTTGATCTCATTTCCTGATCTCCAGATTTCATTCCCTTGAAAATATAACCATCACAGACCCAGATGAATTCTACATTTCATGCGACCTTTAGGCCATGGGTACTCCCTCAATCCAAACCACCCCCCTCGCACAAATCCCTCAACTCTTCAACCTCCAGCCGTTCTCCTACCCCCAAACACCATCATGATCCTTCCTTTAGCACTCTCTCACCCCCCAAGCACCGACACCCGGCCAGCTTCGCCATCCGTCCGTGCCTAAATTCCTACCTCAACCATGACAGATATTGCCATTGCCATCCAGTACACCATCTTCGGAGAACCCCACACAGGGAGCTTAGCTTCCGCATGATCTGGCGCATCTCTCTTCAATTCACCACTTTCTTCCGCCTACGATGCTCAAGACTCCACTGCTCTTCCGCCTGCGTTGCCTCTCTTAGAAGGAGAGACCACAGGGGCTAGCCCAGCACCGCCCAGTATGACTAGCTCGGATGGTGGCTTTGAAGAATTCCTCCAGCTCCTGGTTCTTCTGGAAAACTTTCCTATTGGACCAGCGATTATTGCTAACGACAGGTCCTAGGAGACTGATGACGGCCTTGATGGCCTGAAACTGGTCTGCCCATATCCTGAACCTCCCTATCTATGTTCTGGGACGCACCTAACTCTCGCCAAATTCCTAAGGAGATGCTAGCTAATAATACACTAGCTGAAGGAAACCCCACATCCATGACTCTCAACTGCGGCACCCCTCCCGCCTCAGCGCCGAGACCGATGCACCTTGCTCCGGTGGGTGTGGATGAAGGCTCCCGCGGCGAACAGAGTGAATAGTAGTATTAAAAAAGTGAAAAATATAAAAATGAAGTAAGAGAATATATACAGTAAGACCTAATAAAAATTATTGATTCTTCTAAGATTAATAACACTAAGAGCGGAGATTATAATCTTATCTATTTTAAGGTGGGAGTATTTCTGCTAGCGCTAAAAACACACCCTATATGTATTCAGCAGTTTTTTCATAGTATCAAAAAGCGGATCAAACTGCGATGCGCGATGCCTATTATCCCAGAAAAAGTTCAAAACTATGACGCGTCCTTGGATTCAACCTCTGGTCACAATGGAAAGAAAGGAACAATCTTCTTGAACTGAATGTTTTCTATTATATTTCTGTGGATTCTGTAAAACACCTCAGGACATCAAGTTAGACCTTTTGTGCTCATTCGATGTGAACAAGCGGCCAAGAAAGATTCAATCATAGTAAACATCACATAACAGCTCATGGTTGTATCATGTTTGGCCTCACAGAGGTTTGGTCTTGGAGCGGTCCCCTGGCTTGGCTTAAACTGACATTTCCTGGAATCCAGGGTATTTCGCTCATATGCGATGGGAATCTTTGGAATAAGAATATCACCCCACCGCCACTATAGATCACCACGCAGAGATCTTGGAAGCACGATGAAATGGAATCCAGCGGAATCGATAGAGCTTTCTAGTTAAGAGCCAGACAGATCACACACAGCCAGGGAGGGAAATGGGCCAGGAAACAGCGGATAAGAGAAGGAATTGGAAGTCGCTGGTGCATTTAAGCGCCTGACGCGACAAGCTTGCGCTTTAGTTAACTACGCCAATCCTAATTCGGTCTTATTACATCACGTCGTCACGTGTAATTACACGCGCCTTGGATTAATCGCGACCTCGCGACATAAAATGACATCCTCACACGGGATATATACGGATTATTTTCTTTGTACCTCATTTACTGTGTATATAATCAACTTAACCCGACGCCTAGTGGAACATCCATATTGCGGCTTAAAGAATAACATCTTAACCCGAGAATCTTCGAGGCTCAGGTCTTGCCAGAGGGCGAATAAATACACACGCCGCAACCCATTGCGCGATTGAAAATGGGAATTAAACGTAAGCTGTCTCCGTCGATTCTTTGCTATCTGTCCTCCAAAAGAAAAATGCAGGTGCAACAGCTCGCCATAGTGTGGGCCACAGGAATGTTCTAATGTTTTATGTAAAAAAACATTTCCAGATTTGTACCAAGTAATACAGGAGAATGCTCCCGATGCAGTCAAAGCGGGTGAAATAAAAAATCATTTCGGCCGGAAGGTTGCAATTGTAAGTACTTTCTCTCCTGTATCTTCCTCAAAAGTTGCGTAATCACCCTTATGGTATGTGTTTAACGAGCTAAGCTAACTGCTATCCTTACTTCCGTTTCGTGTAGGATGCGTATGTCACATAATAATTCCCTCTAGTCCATGGGTATACAGCTAATGTTGCATACACAGCTCCATGAGCATCTACAGTTTTCTCGTCGCCGTCCGCTCAGATGGCCAACAGCTTATGAGCGAAACCGGTGAGACAACTTCACATCTTATGGGCATGTTCTACCGCACACTCCGCATCGTTGAGAATGGTATTAAGCCTGTTTATGTATTCGACGGTGCCCCTCCAAAACTCAAGTCGGGAGAACTGGCTAAACGATTTATGCGCAAGTCCGAGGCCGCAGAAGCACATGAGGAGGCAAAGGAAGTTGGCACTGCAGAAGATGTGGAAAAATTCTCGAGACGAACGGTTAGAGTAACGCGCGAACATAATGAGGAATGTAAAAAGTTATTGAAGCTTATGGGTGTACCCTACATCAACGCCCCAACTGAGGCGGAGGCGCAATGTGCTGTGCTTGCAAGAGCAGGAAAGGTTTATGCGGCGGCGTCAGAGGATATGGATACACTGTGCTTTGATTCACCAATCTTGCTACGACATCTGACGTTCAGTGAGCAACGGAAGGAACCAATTCTAGAAATACATCTGGATCGCGTCCTAGAGGGTTTGGATATGGATCGGAAGCAGGTAAGTTGATCCCATGAAAGCTCTAATCAATACGTCTCGTACATTTTTACCTTTGAGTTCCTAATCGTTCAATCGTTCAGTTCGTCGACCTCTGCATTCTCCTTGGCTGTGACTACCTTGATCCCATTCCCAAAGTAGGCCCCAATACCGCCCTAAAATTAATCCGTGACCACGGCTCCTTGGAAAAGGTCGTAGAGGCCATCCAATCCGATCCGAAGAAAAAATATACCATCCCCGAAGACTGGCCATATAAAGATGCTCGAGAACTCTTCTTTGACCCGGATGTCCGCAAAGCAGACCACCCCGACTGCAATTTTAAGTGGGAGGCGCCTGATGTCGAAGGATTGGTGAAATTCCTCGTTGAAGAGAAAGCATTCAGCGAGGATCGAGTACGAAACGGCGCGGCGCGGCTTCAGAAAAACTTAAAAACAGCGCAGCAATCTCGGCTGGAAGGGTTTTTCAAGCCGATTGCGAAGACTGAACAGGAAAAAGCTACTCTGAAGCGCAAGCATGAAGAAAAGCTGGAGTTGCAGAAAAAGAAAAAGAAAGAGGAGGCAAAGGCCAAAAAGGAGGCGAAGTCCAAACCCAGAGGAGCTGTGTGATCTGTGCTTGCTCGGATATTATTCTTCGCTTTCCTTTCTTTTTATATGTGTACCGGAGTATTTTGTCACGATTGTAACATAGCGGTATAGTCCCTTTTACCCCGCCCTGGATAGTTAACTAGAGGCCAATTTTATTAATCATCAGTTTTATCATTTAACTGGCGGGCGGAACGAACACATTGTCAACTCCTCTCCTGCACAACTTACAAGCATATCTAGCGCCGGTCAAGTTAATACCCAAATTGGTACCATCTCTTGACTGAAGAATTTGACCGAAACGATCTGCTGACTAACGGCTGAGTTTAGGCACGGCTTGGCAGCTGCCGGCAACACTTCCCCGAACAGCACAGGAGGCGATGTGCCTGCGTCCGCCATCATCCATTTCTCCAAGTGCTCTGTTTCGATGATCATTGCGGCTCTTGAGTCTTTGCCGTTTGATTTAATAATGGTCTGAGCATTGACTGCATATGTATGTCTTTCTCTGGAATAAACTGCTCTCGCATAGCCGAAATGGCCCTTTCGGCTGCCCGCTGCCGAGAATTTCGATATCAACGGCTATGTAGCTAGCTTGCGAGCTATCTATCTAGGTCTTGCGAGCTATCTACCTAGGTCTTGCGCAACAAGTTCTCTGAGGGGGCTCTGGCGATTGAGTGGCTGGGTTGGCTCTTTTCTCCACCTTTTACCATGATGCCAACCTCGGATACGGTGAAGCAAGAAGAATGTCTCCTCAGTAAATGGTCCGTGGGGCCAGAACTGGTGCTCCTCATATAATGCATGGAAGTGCAGCGCCTGGAAGTCACTTTTGTTTAGTTTCCAGACGTACAGCACAGATATTTGTGAAACTATAGGACATACCATTTATTTCTCTACTATCTGTCCCCGAGATATCTGCCACTTCTAGCAAGTAGCCTTATACTATGCCAGAGAAGATATA